TGCATCTCAACTTCGCCCTCCCTGAATGCGGCAATGTTGAGTTCGGTACGGTCTGCTCGTGGTTCGGGGATTGCCTGTAGTGCCTGAGGGTCTGCTAGGGGTGGTCTTGGTGCCAGCATCTGTGAAGTGCCTCACACGGTATGTTGGATCTGGCACTTTCTCCAGCGGTGATGAGTCGAACTGCCCTCCTCCTGTTTCTGTATAAACGCTGGATGGATTTGCAGTCGTTGACGTAGATTACCAGGGGTGCTTGTCGTTCGCCATCTGTCCTGATGCGGACGTGAGTTCACCATCTCCGTGATCTCCTCGAGGAGGCAAGTGAAGCCGTCCCAGTCAGGTGTCCTGAGAAGGGGTCGTAGAATGACTAACACCCACTCTTGTGCCGCGTTGTCCGTGTGTTGTTGTATCAGTTCCCCTGGGATATCCTGGTCGTGGTGAGGTGATGCATCTACATCTTCTGTCATTCTTGCTGGTGGCTGGGGAGGCTGGGTCACCCCCGTCCAGCCCTGGGGGTTGGGAGGTTGGCGAGTGGTGTGGGAATGGCACTTCAATCACAACCGGTGAAAGCGGGTGAGCTTGGTGTGGTTGCCGGAGTCGAGGTGGTGACAGGTCGGGTGATGGTACAGGACTGCAGGGCGTTGGTGTTGAGGAAGCTAAGGCAATTGTAGGAGATGGAGGTGTCCTTGGGGTACAGGGGTTTGAGGCAGGGGTCAGGTCAGCAGGGCTAGACGGCAGCACATGGTCAGGTCGCCAAGGTTCAGGATTTGGCAATGGACTATGTTGTCACAGTTCCTTGGCCGGCGCAGGCTGTTCGTTGACTGGGGCTTTGCTAGCCGTCCGACGTGAGTGCAACTCCTTGTAGCTCGGCATCCCAATCTTGGAGTTGCAGGAGAAGTCGCAGCTGTGGGTACTGCACTGGAATAACAGGTGATGATCTTCTGGTGTCCTCGCCACCCGGATCTCACGGAGTCGTGCGCAGGTGTGAGTCGTTGGTCTCTTCTTCAGGGTCAACCCACAACCTGCTCATTTCTATTTAACCTCTGTGATGTGGATCCTGTGGCCACCGTCTACGTTTCTCGTTAGTGGCACACGCTGGCTTGTCCACGCCTGTGATGCGTAGATGTGTGGACAGTTTGCCTCAGTGCACCTAAAGTGTCGTGGAAGGGGAAACCAGATGGTGAGGGTTTCCCCGTGTCTCTGTGGCTGTTGGTCGGGGCTTGGTGCTGCAGGGTCAGGGTCGTCATGGTGCATGATGTAACCTTCTCGGGGGGGGGGGGGGCTGCTGTCGTCTCACGAGAAGACCCTGAGGCGTCGTCGTTCTCTTCTTGTCGTAATGGGGGAGGTGAGGCCGAATGCCAGTGCCGTCACTGCTGGCATCAGAGTTTCTTGTGATTCTTCTGAAGACGTACCTCTCGGCTCGTTGTCTGTTGGTGTATGTGTCGTCCCAGAAGTCCACATCGTTGTCTTCAGGTGCCTGTATTCCATCCGGGGAGGGTTCAGGGTAGTTCAGTCTATTGCCAGAGCTGGAATCCAGGGCGGCCTCGGAGGTGGTGTCACTGCCCCAGGGCTGTGTCTGATTGCAACCACACGGTCGGCGTCGCTGGAGTCGGCCCTTCGTGGTGGTGATGCAGACGTCGCCAGGGCCAACCCCAGGGGTGGTGTCGCTGGAGCCGACCCCCAGGTTGGCGTCGCTGACGACGACCCTCAGTCTTGCATCACCTGAGCTGATGTCGCTGGAGCCGGCCCTCAGGTGCACAGCGCTGTATGAGCCAGGATCGATGGTGGTGTCGCTAGAGCCAACCCCAAGAGTGGAGATGCATGAATCGATGGAGCCGACCCCAAAGTTGGTGCTGCTGAACTTGGTCCCGACCGGGTTGGTCCTCGAAGCCGACACGCCAGGGTCGACCTCAGAGCGGGCGTCGTCGCTGGAGGTCATCTCATCGAGGGCCAGTCCCACAGTGCCGGGTCCGTGCTGCTGAAGATGGTCTCCACAGGAGTCGCCCTTGAGGCCGACTCGCCAAGGTCGACCTCGCTGGAGGTCGACCTCGCTGGAGGTCATCTCGTCAACGGCCAGCCCCACAATGTGCTAGCCCCCGGATTCGCGCTGCTGGAATCGGTCCCCATCAAGGTCGCCCTCGAAGCCGCCTCGCCAAGGGCGACCACGAGGCAGTCGTCGTTGCTGGAAGTGTCTCCCTGTGCCAGATTCACAATCCTCGCCCCCGAGTTCGTGTTGCAGGAGCCAACCCTCACAGAAGCCAGCCTCCCAAGGCTGACCTCATGGTGGGGGAGCGTAGTCGTCCTCGAAGCCGCCTCGCCAAGGGCGACCTCAGGGTAATCGTCATTGCCAGAATCACCGGCCAGCCTCACAACGCTGACCCCGTGGTTCACGTCTCTGGAGCCGACCCCCACAGAAGCCAGCCTCCCAAGACTGGCCTCGGGGCAGAGAAGCCTCGTCGTCCTCGAAGCTGCCTCTCCAAGGGCGACCTCGAAGCAGTCGTTGTCGCCAGAAACATCACGGGCCAGCCTCACGGCGCTGATCCCCTGGTTCACGTCCCTGGAGCAATCCTCTACAAAAGCCAGCCTCCCAAGGCTGACCTCGGGGCCGGCGGGCATCATCATCTACGAGGCCGACTCGTCGAGGTCGATCACGAAGCAGTGATCGTCGCTGGAGTCATCGAGGGCCAGACCCACAGTGCTGGCCCTTGGGTTGGTGTCTAGGCAGTCAGTGTTGCTGGTGGTCGTCCTTACAGCAGGCCCCACCCTGGGGTGGGTGGGGAAGCCGGGGTCCATCACCGTCGAGGTCGACCTCGGGGTATGCGGTGGTAGTCTATATGTCTGTCGGTCGGCTGGGGCGGGAAAGAGTACGACGTCGTTGGGTAGCGTCCTGGACTGCTGCATGCAGAGCTCTGAAATTGTCCCACCCGTAGTGCTGGCAGCACCAACCGCTGTCGTCGATCCATCGCGGGAGATGGCAGCACGAGGCAGCAGTGGAGTACTAGACGGACATAGATTATGCTGCCCCATTAACTCCGTTAGGGCGTGCCGTCAGCAGCACAAACTATGCGAGCATAGGCTGTGTCCATCCTCCAGCACCTGGTGCGAGGCGCAAGTGTGGAGGGGGGCACCACCTATGGTCTCGCCTTCAGGCGACAGGCCCCGGACAGGCCAGCCCCTGGAGGTTGACAACAAGCACGGGGGCCTTGCTGTCTCGCCAGCTAGGGTAAAGGTGGAGGAAGCTCCCAGCACTTTACCCCATGTGTGGTCCTAGGCGACTGAGTGAACCAGAAACCACCACTAGGTGGCAGCACGGTCGGTGATGTTGGGAGGGCGTGGCCTAAATTGTACTGGTCCTTTAACTCCTCCTTGCTCGGAATCGGAGGGCTTGCGGACACCAGCGCAATTTATGCTAGCACTTTTGCGCTCTCGGCGCTCAAAAAAAAACAATACCCCAGATGCTTTCGGCACTTCGCGCGCCTACGCGGTAAGACCGAAAAAGTGTACACTCTTTTGACTGTCCTGGCAATAATTGAAGGCGCACGTATTTAAATTTGGTATCACTGTGTTCGCAATGAAATTGTCTATAAGAGCATACCTATAAAATGCCGCCCAAGCATAAGGAGTATCAACACCAAATAAAAAACTATGCAGATCACTCGCCGAGAGCGCCAAACAGCAACAAAATGTTTCCACTCTCTTAATGGTTGCGAAGCCTACAGTTGTCCTACATCGCTAATTTTGGTATCATTGGAATCGCAATAAATTTCTCTACACGGACATATGCATATGAATGTTTAATATAGGTAATTGCCCACCCGCAAGAGTGTGTGAAGTGGAGAGTAGTTAGCCGCGAGCGCACTGGCGAAAACACAGGGGGGAAATCATGCTTGGAAAGTTTATACGTTTCCTGACCCTACTTTTCTATGTACGTATTTCTTTTTTATACCAATGTGTTCGCAATAAAATTTTCTATAAGATGAACTGTATAACATTTGTACAAAGCATGTGTAAGAGAAGCGCCAAATATAGAACCACGTCGCTCAGTATGCGTTCGCGGCAGAAACGAACGCATTGTTTTCGTTCGTTTGATGTTTGTCATGTTTATACTTGTTGAAACATTTTATAATTTATATGACAGTGATCGCAGTAAAATTCCCTACACAGACATATACATAACACATACAAATATTTCCCACGTGTTGGATATATCAACGGCTAAAGGGAACCCACTGCCACACGCTCGCCACACCCCCAAACATACTTTGTGTATTTTTTTTTTACTCATAGAAGTTTATGTGATATAATATTCATTCTGGTACCAAAAAATTCGCAAATAAATTCTCTACAAAACAAAAGTATCCCCATCCATTTCGGTTAAAAAATGGAATTTATAGAAATATTTTTTCGATGGACGAGAAAAGTAGGCTGTTATGCGGAATCGTAAGAAAAAACGGCGACGAGTTATCTCTAATCTAAAGCGCGAAAGTGCTAGCATAAATTGTATTCCCCCCCTCCAGCCCCTGGTGCCTTGTACAAGGTGGGAGTTCAGAGAGGAACACAATTTATTGCATTCCCCACCAAGCAACTGGCCCTGGACAAGCCAGTCATTGGTGGTGGACAGCAAGCACGAAGGCTTTGCTGTCTCGCTGGAGGAAGTGGATGGGTGGCGCAGCAACCCGGAACCCCTCCCTCTTAAGGTAGTTATTGAGACTACCTGGATCGCTATATGTAGATTATACTACTCCTTTAACTCCTTTTGGGCGTGAGGAACGTAGGATAATTTGTTTATTGAATAATGTTTACAGGAGTTGTACAGAATGCCTTGTGACAATTCCCACAGAGGGCTTCATATGGAAATTTTACATTGAAATTGATTATAATTTCATACAATATGTAAATTCCTGAAACAAATACCATAGACATGTTCTGAAAGAAATGGCATGGTCCTGCAAGAGAAAGCGCAAGTATATGGAAATCAATATTGCCGTTCGCCGGTGACGTGTTCAATGTAGATCATCCTTGACCATCGAATCGTGTCGGTGACGCAGAGCTTCCTGAAGAGTTTGATATTTTTTGGAGGCTTGCCTGTTCATCAGCTTAACGTTTTTCGGATCGTACGAGCCTAGTGAGCCCACGAAGGCGTGGACGGTGACCTGCCTGTAGGTCCGTCTCAGCGCAGCTGCAATCGGCGCATATTTTTGCTCCTTTCGTAGCCTAGCTTCATCCAGGGAGGCTTCGCCGTTCTCGAATGGGCACGTCACGTCGATGAGGAGGACTTCTCCATTCTTCTTGAGGACGATGTCTAGCCGTAGGGTGCTGTCGATGCCAGGAATCGGCTGATTTTCCGTTATTACCTTCCAGAATCTTCCTTCAGCAGCTTTCATGATACGTTGAACTAGGGCGTTATGGCGCTTGTTCATGGGGTTTGACAGCCTCATGCAGTGGCTAAGGACGTGTGGTAGTCTCTCGTTCGGGTTCCTGCATCGCCTGCAACGTTTGTCCGAGTTCAGATTGAAGTGCCTTGCTCCATTGAGGGAGAGGAGATTAAGCCTCGCCCTATGTATGAACCTCCAGTCAGCGAAGGTAGTGTATGCTCCATCGTAGATGGAGGATGAGGCTTGGACTTTTGCTACTTGCTTCATCACTTTCCCTTGGTCCGGCTTGTCTTGCAGGCGTTCGTCTCTGAGTCCCCGATGGTGATTACGGATGTTTCTCACCACGAGTCTCCTTTCCTTCCGTGTCATGGTCCTCTTCCCTGCACGTTAGTGCTAGTTCTTCACCATCAGCAGACCATTTTGTGTCAAGTCGTGCAGATGCATTCCTTGCTCTTGACCAACTGTTTTGTGACCAGTCGGCCGCTGAGCCATGGCTTCCTTGGACCAGGTACTGGCAGACATTCGTTAATGTAGCGTCTTCTCGTAGTCTGTGTCACCACCCTGGTGCAGTCCACTCTCACGAAGTTTCGTGTGTCTTGGTCCGGCGTAGTAAGGAGTTTGAAGGCCGAATCAATCACAAACACGTCTGATTCCTCTGCATCAAGGGGGACACCACAGGAGCCTGCTGCTGCACTGCCATATAGATAGTCGTTCGTAGCTCGGGTCGGGAGATAGAGCGTTGACTTAATGCTCATAGATGTTCGTAGAGTTGCTGCCAGTCTCCCTTCCTCAGCTGCCAGGTTCGCATTGCAAACACTGTCGTTGGGAATACAAAGGATTTCAATGCATCAATCCTTTGCCAGGGTGCCAACTTGCTGGTCATTATGGTTTCCCCTAGTTTCATTGAATTCGTCTTGCGGTAGAGTTTGACAGTAGGTGGAATCCTACTGGTCTGCCAAGGAACGTAGTTTCTTCGCCGTTCCCACGGCAGCTGATGTCCGTTTCACCGATTTTGAAGGTCGTGTGCCTCATACCCCTCGGCTGCCTCCCAGACATATGCATAGAGGAACATTTTCTGGGGTTTAGCGCCAGTCTCAGGTCCCCACAGGTCGCCGTTGTGACGTCCAGGAGGCGCTGTAGACCCACTTCAGTTCTGGCCAGCAGTGTGATGTCATCTGCATAAGCCAGGCAGGGGTGTTTAAAGTCAAGGTCAGTGTCTAGGCCAATTGCGATGGCTGTTTGTAGAATGGGTTCAATAGCAATATTAAACAAGAGCCCACTGATAGGGCAGCCTTGGCGGACTCCACAGTGTACCGGAATCACGTTTGTTTCACCACCAGCCGTCATGATCCGTGTCGAGTTGTCCCTTGTGATGCTCTGGACGACATTGATGAAGGCTTGCCCTGCACCCATCCAGTGGAGAGAGGCGTCGATCAGCTCAGTTGGCACCGATCTGAACGCGTTCGTGAGGTCCAGCGACGCAATGTAGACGTTTCAATGTTTCACCCATCCCCTGCGCCTCGTCAAGGTAGTACTGGAGGATGAAATTGTGCTCCAGCACACCGTCCGTGGGCATGAACCCCTTCTGAGCGTTGCAAAGTGCGTTGTTGTGCACGATCCAGCTTCTCAGACGGGCAGCCAGACACCCTGTGTATAGCTTGTATATAAGGGCGACACGGGGGAATTGGTCGCCAGTTGGTGACGGCTCCAGGGTCCCCATCTTTCGGTATCAGGATGGTTTGCGATGTCTTCCAAGTCTGTGGTATTTTCTTTTGTTGTAGACAGATGTTAAATATTGCTGTGAGCAGCTTACACTCAGGGTCGACTTGTTTCCAGTGTCGATACGTTATCCTGTCGTCGCCCGGTGCAGTATTCTCGGCTTTCGATAGTCGTATTTCAACTTCGCCCTCAGTAAAACGCAGCCACGTTGAGCTCTGCACGGTCTGCTGGCGGTTCAGGGATTGCGGGAAGTGCCTGGGGGTCTTCTAGGGCTGGCCTGGGTGCCAGCATCTCTGTGAAGTGCCTTTCAACTTCCTCACTTGGTATCTCACATCTGGCACTCTCCCCGGCGGTGATAAGTCGGACTGCTCGCCTCCGGTTGTTCCTGTAGAGATGCTGGACCGATTTGCAGTCATTCACATCAATCACTGGGGGTGCTTGCCGTTCCCCGTCAGTCCGGATGCGGAAGCGAGTGTGTACTACCTCTGTGATTTCTTAAAGGAGGCAGGTGAAACCCTCCCAGTCAGGGGTCCGGAGAAGTGCTAGTAGAGGGTCGTAAAACGACTCTAGCACCCACTCTTGTGCTCCATCGTCGTATGACGTTGTAGTGGCTCTCCTGGGATCTCATGATCGTGGTGGGGTGAAGCATCTACATCGTCGTTGTCGGATTCGTGGTTGCTGGTGGCTGGGGAAGCTGGGTCACCCCCATCGCCATTGTCTGGCTCAGGGGGGGTAGGCGTGGGCAGGTCAGGGATAGGTATTACTGTCACAATGGGTGAGAGCGGGTGAACTCTGTGGTTGCTTAAGCCGGGGTGGTGACAGGGCCGGTGAAGGTATTGGGCTGCGGGACGTCGGAGATAAGCTGGATGAGGCGATTATCAGTGGTGCAGGCACCTCCGCGGAGCTGGAGGTTACGGCCAGGGGTCAGGTCGTCAGGGCTGGGTGGTAGCACGTGGCCAGGGTGTCGTTGTTCATGGTCTGGCAGTGGGCCGGGCTGTCGTGGCACCCTATCCAGTGCAGGCTGCCTGTTGCCCCGAGCTTCTCTGGTCGCCTTTCGGGAGTGCGATTTTCTTTGGCTCATCCCAATTTTCGAGTTGCACGAGAAATCGCAGCCGCGGGTACTACACTGAAACGACAAGGGGCGGTCGTCCAGGGTCCTAGCAGCCCGGATTTCACGCAGGCTGGCACAGGTGTGGGTCGTCGGTCTTCTCCTCAGAGTTGATCTGCAGCCAGCGCATTTGTATGTTATTTCAGAGATTCGAAGCCCGTGGCCACCCTCCAGGTGTCGTATCATCGACACAAGCTGGCTGGTCCACGCCTGAGATGCGTGGATGTGGGCACAGGGCGTTGCTGCACACTTAGTGTCTAGGAAGCGGGAACCAGATAATGAGGGCTTCCCCCCGTCTCTGCGGCTGCTGGTCTCGGCTGGGTTAGTCGGAGTTGTCGTTGTTCAACGGAGGATAGTTTTTTATTGAAGAATGTTTTACAGAGGGTTTACAATAGCCTTGTGTCTTCACAAGGGTGCATGGGTACATATTGTGAAAGTTGCATAATGGTTTACATAAGTTTACATAGAATACAATATACATTTTTATACATGGGTTATTATGGGATCTTTATTTACATCGTACAGTCTGCCATTAAAAAACTCAAAACAGATGTAATATACATATAAATTTTCTGAAATGAGAAAAAGGTACAGACATGTAAACTAGTATTGGCGGGCGCCTGTGATGTGCTCTATATACATCATTCGTGACCACCGGATGGTGTCGCTCACGCATAGCCTTCTGAACAGCCTCTGATATTTTCTAGAGGCCAGCCTGTTCATTGGCTTGTCATTCTTTGGGCCGTATGACCCGAGCGATCCTACAATGAAGGCATATACCGTGACCTGCCTGTAGGTCCATCTCATTGTCGCTGCTAGCTCGGCATACTTTTCTTCTTTACCCAGTCTTGCTTCTGCAAAGGCGTCTGGTCCATTTTCGAAGGGGCAAGTGACGTCAATCAGCATCACCTCTCCGTTCTTCTCTAGAACAATGTCCGGTCTTAGCACATTGTTCGTTCCTGGGACTTGTCGGTTAGTGGATATGACCTTCCAGTGTCTTCCTTCCGAGGCCTTCAGGATGCGATCGACCAACGCGTTGTCGCTGGATCATCGCATTGGACAGCCTCAGGCAATGGTTGATGATGTGGGGTAGCGTCTCGTTCTGGTGGCGACATCTCCTACACCGTTGGTCCCCGTTGATGTTGAACCGGCGGGCCCCGTTTAGAGGTAGAAGATTCAGACGTGCCCTGTGAATGAAACGCCAGTCAGCAAAGGTTGTGAAAGCCCCATCCCTAATAAATGCAGACGAGGCCCGCTCCCTCCCAACTTGCTCCATTACTTTCCCCTGGTCTGGTTTGCTTCTCAAGTTGTCGTCGCGAAGGCCTCTGTGATAGTTCCTTATGTTCCTTGCGACCAATCGCCTTTCTTTGTGAGACATGATTCTTTCCCCACAACAGACTTCCAACGCATCTCCGTCTGTGGACCACTTGGTTTTCATCCTCCCCGACGAGTTGCGGGCTCTTGACCAGAGCGTCTCATGTCCAGAGGGTCTTTGTTCCAAGTCGTCTCTTGAGAGATACTGGCATACGTTTTCCAGAGTGGCTTCCTGGCGAATTCTTCGTGACGTTACTCTCTTGCAGTCGTCCCTGGCAATATTCCTCGTCTCTAGATCCGGCGTGGTGAGTAGTTTGAATGCCGAGTCTATGATGAATATGTCAGTCTTCTGCGGCGAGGGGTATGCTGCACGAGCCTGCTGCACTCTTTCCATACAGGTATCCATTGGTTGCCTGCTGTGGCAGGTATAGTGTTTCCTCTATTAGTGGTCGTAGTCGGTCATCTGTTCCTGCCAATCTCCCTTTCTCAGTTGCCAAGTTCTCATGGCGAACACAGTTGTTGGGAAGACGAAGGACTTCAGGGCATCGATCCTCTGCCAGGGAGCCAATTTACTTGTCATTATGGCTACGCCTAGTTGCTCAAACTCTTCGATTGCGTTCGCGTTCGGGAAGAGGTGGAAACCTACTGGTCTGCCTAGGAATTTGGTTTCCTCCCCATCTTGTCTGCTGCAAATTTGCGATTCTCCTATTGTAAATATGGAGTTTCGCATTCCCCTCGGTTGCCGCCCAGTCATGTGCATTGACGAGCATTTCCTTGGGTTGAGTTTGAGATGCAGTTCTTCACAGGCTGCAGAGGTGATGTTAATGAGGTTCTGTAGGTCTTCCGCTGTCCTGGAGAGCAGGGTTATATCATCTGCGTAGGCAAGGCAGGGATGCTTGAGATCCGGGTCTGCTTGTAGTCCGGCGTTGATGATAGTCCTCAGTATTGGTTCAATGGCGATGTTGAATAATAGGCCACTGATTGGGCATCCTTGCCTGACCCCACAGTCAGCTGGGATATCATTCGTTTCACCACTCGCAGTTTGAATTTTGATGGAATTTCCTCTTGTGATGCCCTGGATCACCGTAACAATGTCTACTCCCACGCCCATCCGTGTGAGGGAAGCGTCGATGAGCTCTAATGGTACGGAACCAAAGGCGTTTGTGAGGTCAAGTGACGCAATGCAAATATCTTTATTGCTGTCACGTGCCTCGTCAAGGTAGTGCTG